TTGTTTGATAATCAGCCAGGATGTTGTATTCACTAATATGTAATTGTGCTTTTCTTTACTGGTTTTGAAATGTAGAATAATCTGTTAAAGTTAAACCAGTTAATATCTGCATGGTTGAAGACGAGCGGAAAAATCAATTAACAATAATTACAATAAATACGCAGTGTGCATTGACTGAGTCGACATGTTTTATATCTGTGGCTTTGAACGCCAGAGTGTCACACACTGCACCAGCATCCCAGAACAGAGAGCATGATGGATGATGCAGCCAGTGGATTTAGTGGAGCTATAGCATGCAGTAGGTTTGTCAAATTTCAATTGTTGAACAAAGTGCTGCAGAATACCGAAGAACACAAAAGGCCAGAAGCTTTTAGTCACAGGCTAATCTTATAATAACCTGCAAACCATACGGTGCTGCGTCACATTGTATTCTTTGTGTTTGTGTCATGTTTGAATGGAAAAGGCAGGAATAAAACCAATGGTTTTTTGTAAGAGGTCTGAATGCTGGCCTTGGATAAAGAAAGATGTTTAACAGATACTGTTTTGGTTTCCAGTGCTCTGTAAAAGGAGCAATAACAAAGCAGTGCAGTGACTTTTGTGGATTTTATAGTCTGTGTTGTTCTTACGTTTGCAGGAAGAAGTTTTGTTGGAAAAAGTTCCAATCACAAATGGGAGGAGAAGAAAATCAGCATTTTAACTGCTGTTCAAAGGTCATATAGAGGCAAAAAAGTCAAACTTGTACATTTTGCACTAACCTCTTGCACTCTCTTTCCCTTTCTTGTCTTGTCTCAGATTGCTTTCTCTCAGCACAACAGCATCATGGACCTGGTGCAGTTCTTCGTTACCTTCTTCAGGTAAGTTTTTGTTTTTTTGATTGTTATATTTACTTATTTACTGCATCTTTCATGCTGAGCATCCGCCAGCTTCTACAGCACCTTGTAGGGCTTTTGCTGCTCAGTGGTTCAGCTCCCAGAAGATCTTTGCTCAACTGAGCTCTAACTTGAAGTCACAAAGTTACAGTAGGAGGCAGCAGCCTCAGGAAAGACACTTCACCCTCAGC